AGAGGCCCAGGTGTCAGAATACAACTGATGGTCTGACTTCATTTATACTCATCTTGAAACAGAACTCAGAGTTGAACTCTCACTCCTATTTCCCAGACGGATTTTAAAGAGACAAGAGACAGGAGACACGGTATCTCCAATAGCTATGGCTAGACTACAAAGCAGGCAATTTACAACCAGATACTTAAGAGTTAACTACACACACTACAAAGCTTTCTATCCTCTTTAAACCACTAATAGGACTAGATTTTCTATTTTTTCCTTACTGTGGGCACTCGCCTATCCTCAATATTCCCCATCTACCTACCATTGACTTCTAAGTTTCTACCGAACCCTCCAAGAAACTCTTCTGAAGTCCTACCTTGGCTTGACTAACTTATCTAGAATTCAGCAACTGGAGGTCTGCAAGTATGAGTGGCCCACGCCATGACATCAGCCACCTCGGACCCCCAACTGGCTACTGTCCTTCTGGTGAGCAGTGTTCTAGAGGTGGCACCCTGGCACCCTGGCCTGGCCAACTGTCAGACCTGCCACCCAGCACAAGTTAATGACATGGTATCAGTCGAGTTAGCCAAACTGGGGTTAGGACAGGCAAGGTTACTCCCAAGGTTACCACAGCGACTCACCACTGTACATGTCAGGGTGGTTTCTTAAGGACGAGTCATTATAGGGGTGGTCTGCAATAAACAAAAGAGGGTGAGCAAACAGGAGGCCATGGAGAGGTCAGGGAGGCATACAGGGGAGAGAACAAACAGAAATGCAGAGCCACAAAAACAACGGGGAGAGCACCAGAAGTCTTTTGCAAAGGAAAGACACGGCATATTTGGAAAGGAAATATGCTTGGTGAAGAACAAGCAACACAAAACAGCCCAAAACGGGAAGAAAAGGTTAAATCCTGCAAAAGAAGGCATTATAAGTTTCTTCTTTAATTAAAAAAATTAGTCTTGACCTTTAATTACTTGGTCCCACTACAGTTTCAAACAAATGAGATAAGGATTAGCAGTATCCGGTAGCAGCCTTTTGAACAACTCCTTCCCATCAAAATCCTCAGTTCCCAGGTCTCTGGATCAGGCCAGCCCTTGGGGTAGCTAAAGAGAAAGGAGTGTTAGTGAGCCCTGGGGAAAAAGCAAAGTCCTACCTGAGCAGGAGCTAAGTTGCAAGGAGCAAGAGGTAAATGAGAAAAGATAGTCCAAGAGAAACAGTTCATCAACAGAGTGCGACAGAGCAACCCTTGGCAGAGCCCAACAATCCTGTGCTTGCCGGCAAAGCGCCCCCAACCTGACCGGTGGCAGCAACCTGGTCTCTGAGATGTCTGTGGGCAGAAAGGCCTCCTGAGGCTAGGAGTGGTCCAGGGAGGTGGGGAGCACTAGGCTGAGGTTTGGATTTAGGACTAGAAAGGTAGCCTGGATAGGGGTTGGGAGGTAGGGGGGCAGTGAGAGAGAGAGAGAGAGAGAGAGA